TTTACAAAAAAAAAAAAAAATATGCTTTCGTAATAGGTGATCCTGCCGGACCACAACCAAATCAAAGGATCCAACCACTTACTGAGTCACCACGAGGAGATCCTGCCGGACCACAACCAAATCATACTTCATAAATGGGCTTTAAGCCCTGTATGTGACATTCTAGACCCGATTTTATTGTATGATAGTTTTATTTAGAGAAATTTACTCCCTTTACAATCCGTTGGCTAAATAATATCAAAATTACGATCACACAATTTTTTTTTTTCTATCAAAATTACGTTTTTAATAATTAATATAATATTAATAGGTGAAACAATTATATATGGCTTAATTAACCATTAAGTGGGATTATTTTTATTTTTTTGAGAAATGATAAGAGGTCTCCACGTTACCTTCTTCCTCCTCAAGAAGCACTCACGTCTCTCTCTCTCTCTCTCTCTCTCTCTCTCTCTCTCTCTCTCTCTCTCTCTCTCTCTCTCTCTCTCTCTCTCTACTATACTCGGGCCGAAGGATTTTTTTTTCTCCTCCCTTATTCCAGCAGCCCCGTTCATCTTACTCTAGCGTACAAATTTTCTCCTCTCTGTTCGTTTCACCATCGAGCAACTTATAAAAAAAAAAAAAGAAAAATCGTCACCCTATTAGACCCACCGCGATCTCTCCACTGTTCAACATCTCGCCCTCACAAAGCAGCCCCTATCGCCGTCGCGTTTCACATGCGTCCTCATAGCAAGCCCTTATCGAGGAAACCTCAGACCCGAAGCCCTTCGAGCAGCCATAGCCGCGAGCTTCAGGGCATGCGCTGCCATCGCCGAGATCCACCCTCCCCGCAACCTAGAAGTAAGCAGTTGCGACCTGCTTTCCGGCGACCACTCATCTTCCCCGAGTAGTGCAACCGTCCGCGCGAGGAGCTTATTTCAAGATCAAAGATGTTTATATGTTGTTTATTTTATGTATATGTATACACTTTTTGTTTCTATTATCAGGTTATTGTAGAATCAAAGATGTTTACATGTAGTTTATTTTATATATATATATATATATATATATATATATATATATACACTTTTTGTTCTCTTGTTATCGGGTTATAAAGAATCAAAAAATATGTTTATATGTTGTTTATCTTATATATATATATATATATATGTCAAGAATTCGTTGAAAAGATAATTTTGTTTTTTAAATTTGAATTTGTGAATTTCTAAATTAGGTAATCACAATTTTCATATTTTTTCTTAATTTTTCTTTTCAATGTGTTTGTCGTTTTCTTTGCGGGGATTTCACCTTCTGGAGAGGACTTTCAATATATGGAGAGATAGAAACAACTCTGCTAATTGGATTTAAATCTCGTACAAATATTAAAAAAAATCAGTAATTAATCTTATTTTGATAATTTTTCACACGAATTATATTTATGTAAATATATCTAAACTAGAGGTCATCAATGTATTTTTCCCAACTGGAATATAAGACAGAGATGGAAGTTGACATAGATTCACATGGATTCCATAATACCAGGTTTTTTTTTCTTTGGATTCATAGTCCAAAAGGTATTATAGACCAAGCCCAAGTGTAGCTGTATTGGGCTTAGACTAAGGTAAAGGGCCAGGCATGGTGTTTGGGACTCTTAGCCTTACCTTATTCCTCTGAAACTGAGATTTTTTTTTTCTTATATTATTATTTTTTATTATTTTTTTGGGGTTTCAAGCTAATTTATGAGAATAATTACGAAAACATCAATATCAAACAGTTCCCTCAAGTTATTTTTTTTTTCCTTATGAAAACCCCAATTGAGGTTACATCGCTCTCCTACCCACGTGTACACATGTTAATATGCTCACTTATATGGCATGCATGCATTGGTGATGTAGTTTTTTGAACATATTAACATCACTAATATGTGTATGCCATATAAGCGGTGGACATAGTAATATTGATTACGAATAATTGTTAATGATACATAAGTATATTTTTTGATGACTTCATAGAAAATTACAAACGTATAATTTGTTCTTAAGAAGTCAGTTGAATAAAGAGAGATTTGGATTTGAGAAGAAAAATCCTCCCTATATATAATTTCCGAATGCGCAGAGCTTACGTGGCTGCTTATGGTGTTTCGGAATCCTACTTGGCGAAGAATCATGCTTCGTAATTAGGTTTGGACAAAATAGTAAAAGTTGAAATAAAAAATAAGAAATTAAGAAAATCCAAATCTAATTACGAAGTTGAAATAATATATCAATATTATTTGTCCACCGCTTATATGGCATGCACATATTAGTGATGTTAATATGTTCAAAAAACTACATCACCAATGCGTGCATGCCATATAAATGAGCATATTAACATGTGTACACGTGGGTAGGAGAGCGATGTAACCTCAATTGGGGTTTTCATAAGGAAATAAAAAAAATAACTTGAGGGAACTGTTTGATATTGATGTTTTCGTAATTATTCTCATAAATTAGCTTGAAACCCCAAAAAAAAAAAACTTAGATAATTACCCTACATACTAACTTAATCATAAAATATTGTATATCTACGAACAAAACATTTTATTAGCAAAAGGAGATCAGATAACCTAAATATTTGTACATATACGATCTCTTCTTCTCCCCCTTATTTCTCGTTTTCCCAGACACTCACCACACCTATCACAATTAATTTCTTCTCATCTTCCTCTTCTCCACACTTTTTCTCCCCAAATGATTAGTTTCCCTTTCTTCTCTAAAATCTCTCTTTTTTTTTTCTAATTTCTCCTCATGCTTCTCTAATTTGTCCCTCTCCCAAAAATCCTCCCCGTGTAACTCCAAGTTTGACAATGGCTACGACTGTCCGCTCAAGAAGGTAATAATTGGTGGGCGGTCCGAGCATCAGGTGCAAGCCACGTGTGACAACCCGACACAGGAGACAACCATCAACGGAGAGGCAGACAAGCGGGCTGGCAAATTTCAATCGAGGGCGGCCAAGTCACATGTGACAACCCGACGCCTGGATCTGGTGTTGTGGCCAAACCCAACAACTCATTGATGTGTAATGTATTTTACTTTTTTAGTATATATTATGTATATATCATGTATATAATAATGATATGTTGGTTTATTTTTGTATATGTATGTCTCTGTATATAATGAATATATATTCAGTATATATTTTGTATATAATGTGTTTTGTATATAATGATATATTTGTTTATTTTTGTATGTGTATCTCTTTATATATAATGACTATATATTCAATATATATTTTGTATATAATTTGTTATGTATATAATGATATATTGGTTTATTTATGTATGTGTATGTCTCTGTTTATAATGACTATATATTCAGCATATATTAAAGAGAGCCGGAAGAAAAAGAAATCGAAGAAGAAATTGGGGAAGAAGAAAAAAATTAAAGAGAGGAAAGTGGAAGAAATCGGGGAAGAAGAAAAAAGAAACTAAAGAGAGAGGAAAGAGAAAGAGAATCGAGAGAAGAATTAGGGGAGAAGAAAAAATTAAAGGGAGAGGAAAGAGAAAGAGATATGCCGTGTCTATAGTAAATTTCGTAGATATGCAAATAAATTTTTCATGTAGTAGGATTGTAATTATTTAACAACCAGACCTATATATATTTAAATTAGCCAAAATAATAATAATAATAAAAGAAAAAAAAATTCTCAGTTTCAGAGGAATAAGGTAAGGCTAAGAGTCCCAAACACCATGCCTATACAGCTACACTTGGGCTTGGTCTATAATACCTTTTGGACTATGAATCCAGAGAAAAAAAAACCTGGTATTATGGAATCCATGTGAATCTATGTCAACTTCCATCTCTGTCTTATATTCCAGTTGGGAAAAATACTGTTATACCACACAAACTTGGACCGCCGGACCGCTCTTCTTCGAACCGGGTCACGTCTCCTTGATCGCCGGTACCTGCAAAACACGCCGGGGGTGGTCCCAGCGCGAACACTCCGACGCTCAAGTCAGTGGTGGTCGGAAGAAAAAATGGCGGAGTAATGAGAGAATCTGTATGTATATATCGTTTAGAATGAATGAACCTGTGCCCTTTTATAGATGAGGTCATGTAGTAGTTGAAAAGTTCTTATCATACTAGGAGTCTTCCCATCAGATTAGCTCAAAATCCTAAGAATCCTTGAGGTTGTGAACCTCTTCATGACTTGAGCACGATACCCCCTCCGGGCTTTGGTCCCCTCAGAGGGACGTCCAACTACCTAGGTGCTAAGGTGCCTGCCTAGCTCACGCTGACCTAGCCTCCACCTACCACCCATGTACTCCAAAGGTACCATGGGCTACGCCTACCAGAGCATCCGCCTACCAAAACATCCGCCTACCAAAGCCTCCGCCTACCAAAGCATCCGCCTACTGAAGCCTCCGCCTACCAAAGCATCCGCCTACCGAAGCCTCCGCCTACCAAAACATCCGCCTACCAAAGCATCCGCCTACCAAAGCCTCCGCCTACCAAAGCATCCGCCTACCAAAGCATCCGCCTACCAAATTGAACCACCCAGCTGAGTACAACTAGAACCCGGGTCACAACCGGTCTTTCATGAGACGCTATTAATGACCACATCATCTAGCCCCACATTCCTTAGACAAGTTGAGTTTGTTGTAAGGAATGAACAGTTACACACGCCGTAGCAAGCATCACATCTACCTTACCCAAATTTTCTTAACACCAAACGGGCTCGCTCATAGGATCCCGAACATCATGAAGAACGTCGTGCACTTCGCAGTGCCGACCACCCACGCGACACGCGCGGTGCCGACTACCCGCGAGTGTCAACCACCCGCATGTCGACCCGCGTATGACCACCTCATGGTACCGACCTCCGTGATACCAACTACCTTCAATGCCGACCCGCCATGCACCGACCATGCCGGGGTACCGACCACCCACAGAGAACGCCGACCACCTCATGGT